GTGCACCAGACATCCTCACATTGCCTTGATATCTCATCATGTGGTATCTATTCATTACTTTGTAGTGATATTTAGAGTAGTAACTAGCTTACTATAGTTTTATAATGAATATTCTACAAAGTGGTTTTAGTTAGTAAGTTTTCATCATTTATTCTATGGTAGAATTAAAGTGCACTGTCTCGTATCTAAACATGAACTAGTTTGTGTGGAATCTACACTATAACTCTGTACAGTTTGGTACCTTTGTGTGATAATTAAATAAACTAGTATACTTTAGGTTTGGCGATATTTTACAGCTTCCTAGCTTTAGCGCCTGATTATTTCTCTTCCTGATAGCCAAATATGCATATATTAGTGTTTGGTACGATAGCTTTTAGCTGTAATCAATAATTCGACGTCCAGATAGTGATCAAGCTTGAGTGTTTTAATATTTTACATCGCATTGTAAAAATTAGAACTGTCTGATGCTTTACGCACGTAGATGAGTTTGTCAGTCTATATTATCATAATTATACGGATACATTACATTGATATTATGTTCATAGCTTCTAAGAATGGTTAGCGTACCATGGACGGAACGTCCAAAGCTTGAGTCATGAAAGCCGCTGAACACACTTCGCACTTTCAGCTGTAAGAGCGTTATAAGTGGAATAGTCAGTCCCGCAAGTAGGTGTAGCGATATGGGCAGCAGGTGCTGCTGACTGTTTGGTATACCTCGAAACAGTAGTTCAAAATTAGGGCCCGAATTTTCGGATCCCATGTGTCACATGAAGTACAGTTCGGGTGAAAATTAATCAATACTATTCCAAATAACCCTTAAATTACCTTTGAATTCAAACTGTAAAAACAGGAATTTTTAATTATTTTAAAAACAGGTGAGAGTACTTAATCACAGAGAACATCTGGTAATACAGGAATATTTTATCAATCAGATTTTGTAGTTAAATCTAATTATGAAAATTGTTTGAAGTTATTTGACTTCTTCCAGACGTTCTTAGCCGTATCGTAGAGAACTTGACAATAAAACGGCCCCGGCATCGTGTGGTGGAGAAAATGTTACAGATGGGCTTGGTTAACGACCGTAAACAGCTACGGAAGAAGCAAGTGAGAAAAACAGCGGACGAAAAACAGCGGAAGTCAAAACCGAGATCTAAAACGAAAGCAAATGATAGCGACAACGACGAAGAAGAGGTTGAAGGTTAGTTGAAACAGGAATTTCAATGAATAGCTGTCAGAGAGGAGACCCACTTAAGGTATATGCCTCTTTCCCCCGCGTTAGGCACACCCTTTTTAATATAAACCAATACTAAATCTTCACGTTCAGTTAACAGTTATAAAACCGTTGATTTCCAAAGAAATTCATTTTGCGTGTTTTTTTATCTCCTCCCCCCCCCTCCCTTTTCATGTGTTCTTAACAAGATTTGTAAAATGTCTACATTCAGAAGTATTTTCGAAACTGGAGCAAGTTCAGGTAGATGAGTCATTGTTTTGTTTGTATAATTGTGATGACGACAATAACAAAGAATCAGTAAATGGTTATTTTCTACGGTTCTTTTGCCAGATATAAATAAGTTAAAACTATGTACATAAATATTTGTGCGTGTATTTTTATATCGTGTGAACACTATCTCGGCATGCAGCTTCAAAATGGAACATAACATTGACGGTAACATAGAACAAACAGAAGTGTCCTATCCTAAGAGAGAGAGATTGTCTACAACCAGGATGTTTGGGATCATACCAGGCTGTTCTTGGGTGAGGTATCGGGGATCGTAAATGCTGAGTGTAGTTTTTTTTTTTTATGCGTCCACCTTGAAACTGTCTAATTAGTTGTGATTGACTGAATAGCACTGCTATACCGAATTAGTTAATTATTACTTAAATAGTGAAAATCAACGCCTTCCTTACCAGTGTTCCCTCTAAGTTGCGCGGCCGCACAACAACCAATCAAGTGTCGCGCACTTCATTATTCCTGCCGCGCACACCCCTAGTAACGGTGAGGAGTCTCAACACGTTGACGGCCTTAAATGATTGTGACACTCGATAGGCCTAAAGCCCAAATAATCATATGATAGCATTTCAAAGCGGCCTAAAGCTTAATGATCCAATAGGGTCGATAGTCTACAAATACCCCTCGCCCCTCAAAAAAAAACAACAAAAAACACAAAAACTAGTAGCGCACAATGCCTTGTTACTGGTGCACATGAAAAAAAACAACACAAAAACTAGTAGCGCACATCCTCACATTGCCTTGATACTGGTGCACATAAAAAAAAACAAACACAAGAACTAGTAGCGCACATCCTCACATTGCCTTGATACTGGTGCACATAAAAAAAACAACACAAGAACTAGTAGCGCGTTACTGTAATACATGTTATCAGACTCTATAAAACTATAGTAAGGTATTTAATAGTATGAATATTACTACAAAGTAATGAACAGATACCACATGATGAAAGTTACTGTAATACATGTTATCAGACTCTATAAAACTATAGTAAGGTATTTAATAGTATAGATATTAATACAAAGTAATGAATAGATACCACATGATGAAAGTTACTGTAATACATGTTATCAGACTATATTAAACTAAAGTAAGGTATTTAATAGTATAGATATTACTACAAAGTAATGAATAGATACCACGTGATGAAAGTTACTGTAATACATGTTATCATACTCTACAAAACTATAGTAAGGTATTTAATAGTATAGATATTACTACAAAGTAATGAATAGATACCACGTGATGAAAGTTACTGTAATACATGTTATCATACTCTACAAAACTATAGTAAGGTATTTAATAGTATAGATATTACTACAAAGTAATGAATAGATACCACGTGATGAAAGTTACTGTAATACATGTTATCATACTCT